TAGAACTGGCAACTATTCTAAACTTATTGGTAATACATTTGCATGTCAGAGGGTGGGGAACAAATACAACAAAATTTCAGATGCTTTCCACCTCAAGGACGTTTCTAGAGGTTCAGTGGTATGGCATGTGTCAAGATATCCTTTATATATTAGGCATAATGTCTAGTGGACCTCTGGATAATAGAGGTAACATATTTCTTATTTGGGTGTATTATTCTGGCCCATTTACAAAGTAACCCAAAAAGCTATTAGTTTTGAATGGGCCCAGAACAAAAGCAGTCTCTGCCACAAGTTCAGGCTGGGGTTGCTCTGCCACATGGGCCACATGGGCCACATGGGCCACATGATCCATCAGATCAATGCTTGACATATCAGTGGCAGGTAGGGATGCTGTTGGCAGTCTCTGGCAGGCCTCTGTAGATACTTTCCTAAGAGAAATGAAAAGATATCTACATACAAAGACTTACACAAAATAGTTTACACCAGCTCTGTTTGGAACAGTCCAGAACATAAAACAACCCACTGTCCACCAACAGGTGAATGAACAAACACACTATCACACATCCATACAACAGAATACTAGTCAGCTTTTAAAAAGAATGAACAATTGATCCATGCAACAATACAGATTAACCTCAAAATAATTATGCTTAGTAAGAGAAGCCAGGCATAAAGAAGTACATTGCATATGGTTTCATTTGTATAAAATTCTGGAAACTATAAACTAATCTAAAGTGAGAGAAAGCAAATCAGTGGTTTCTGGGGGAGGCGCAGGGCAATGCTGAGAGGGCAGGAGGAAACTTTTGAAGATGATGGATCTGTTAGTTATCATTATTGTGGTGGCATGTTCTGAATCCCTCCAGTAGTTATATTTTTCATTTATAGAAATTTTATTTGGCTCTTTTTTGAAGCCATATGGCCATATGTGATAATCTGTGATTGCTAGGTTATATCTGCGTTTCACTTCTTTGAGAGTTCAGATGTAGATCTTCTATACTAAGCATCTGACAATTTCCATATCCGCAGTCTTGGTAGTCTAAATATGTTGTTATTTCTTCTGCTTCTCACTCGGGTTGCCTTGCCTTCCCACATACTTTATGTTTTTGGATTTAGAGTTCATATTTGTTCTATATTAAATTTGTAGTAATTTGAGGGCTTAAAATGAGAATATTGATTAAAATGAGAATATTTTCTTCCACAAAGGATGTGCATCTGTGTCTTTCAGGAGCTAGGGAAAGCCACTGACCTGGAATCACTTCAACCCCCACCTCTCTCCCCACCCCAGTCAAGGAGTGACCAATGTGGGATTTAGGGCCTTAGTTCCACCTCCTTCTGCTGGAACAAGGTTTAGAACCTGGATTACAGTCATGCTGAGGACATCTGTCCTTGGGCCCACCATGCCCTTTTATCTGCCCACTGCCCACTACTACCAGTCCTACCCTAATCTCTGGTTTCTGTTTTGTTTTGAGAGTGGGGCAGGATAGTTTACCTTGAACTCATCATTTAATTCTTAACCTATTATGAGCCCATTAGCTCATCAAAAAAGTGTTTCCCATTCAGGATCTAGCTGTTCTTCATTAGGAGGATCCATTAAAGCACTTAGTATTCTGTATGGCCGGATGTGGAATTTAAGTCTCAACCTCTTTAACTCGTAGTTCAGTGTTGTTTCCATTTTTATATGCCATGAAAACAAATCTTGAGAACTATTAAAACTGTCATCCTCTTTTTCAGCATCCTGGTTATCAAAATGTGACCATTCAGATAACCCACAGACAGAAAGGACCTGTTATGGACTGAACTGTGCCCCCCCACCCCCGATCCCTATGTTGAGGTTCTAACCCCTCGCACACCTCAGAATGTGACTGCATTTAGAAACAGGGCCTTGGGATGGGTAAGTTTATGTATCACTTTGGTTGGCTACAGGGTGCCTAGAGTAAACATTATTTCTGGATGTGTCTGGGAGGGTGTTTCTCACAGAGATTAACATCTGAGTCAATACACCGAGTACAGCAGATTGCCCTCCCAGATGTGGGTGGGCATCACCCAATTCGTTGAGGGCCAGGACGGAACAAGAGGCGGAGGGAGGAAGGGGGAATTCGCCCTTTTGTTCCTCGCCTCACTGACTGAGCTGGGACATCTCATCTCAAGTTCTCCGGCTCTTGGACTGGGATTTACACCATGGGCTCCCCTGGCTCTCAGGCCTTCAGGCTCAGACTAAATTACACCATCAGCTTTCCTGGGTGTCCAGCTTGCCATGGCAGATCATGGCACCTCTTAGCCTCACTGGCATGAACTGATTCCTGATAATAAATCCACATCTACATCTGTATAGCTGTGACCTAACAGCCAGCGTCCCCCACCACATTCACACCAAACATCAGGCCTGCCTCTCACCTACTCCCAGTGATTGGTCTATTTGGAGACTGGGGTTTGCCCCAGACCCCTGGGTAGAAGTTCACACCAGTCAAAATGACGAATGCACATGTTCATCTGAAAGCCCTGCCTCATCAAATCCACTTCAGAATCAGGAAGGTATTCTTGGCTACCTTGCTGCTCCAGACCAGCTGGTTAGGTGGCACAGCACCCACTTTCAAGGTCAGTTTCTTACTATCCTGAACATCCCAGATTATGCTGCAAAGTAAACTTTCTCTCTGAACTGTCATAGGGAAGACTTTGGAATCTTCATCAGTCCCTCCCTTACCCACTTCTTTATTTTAGTTCTCAGTTAGGTGGCAGGGATATTTCTCCAGAGCATCGTTGTGATCTTCTAACTTCCCCTGGGGGCAATGGGATGGTCTGGGAGGACAAATAGGGGCAGTCCCCTTTTCTGTGGGAAGGAGACTAGCAGTGGAGGGACCAGCTCTGGGATTTCAGGGATGTGCCCAGTCTGCTTTGTGGACACTTTGATCCTAAATCAAACTTTTTGCTTTAGAAGTGCTAGTCATAAATTATGCCCCACATCTAAAATGATGGTTCTTTCTGCGTTCAAAAAAATCTTTACCCCAACAGTAGAAATGGAGACGAAAAAAGAAGCCAAAATATGCTTCTCATTGGCATAATTTTTGGTGGGAGTTTGCCTGAAGATTCCTCTAAATATCTGGGGACTAATGTAATGACAAAAGGCTACTACCAGCATGAGAGATGCTGAAAATGGGCAATCACAAGAAGCTCTATACAAATGACGTACAACCGGAGCCAAAATAAAAGACAGCCACATTGCAGACAGAGCTCCTAGGGACCAAGATGGGAAAGAAGTGGCTTCACATGAAACTGAAACTGGCACAAACATTGTCACGGGTGACAGGGCTGCTGTGAGATATTGAATATTTCTATAAGTAATTTTGCCTGTGTAGACACTGAAGGAAACTTTACTAAACAAAACAATCAAACATAGAGCACTCTCCGAAAACACATCTCTACTTCTGCCTTCCTTTCCTACACTATCTGGGGAGGACTGGGGAAGGAGAAACGGAGAGCAACAGAAAGGAACCCAAACCCTCAAGATTCAGCAGGACAGCTGCCTTCTCCATGAGGCCCCCTTAACCACTGCAACCTACCGTGATCTTTCCTTCCCCTGATACCTATAAAATCTTGCATTTTACTGTACCCCGTACTGACTTGCATTACTAGATATCCACTCATGACCCAAGAACCCCTCTCCCCAATTAGCTGCAAGGTCCCTGAGCACAAGGACTGCTTCTGTCCCTCCACACGACCCAACACAGTGATTGAATATAGCAGACGCTTGAACTATTTGGTTGCTTGGGTAATGCCACCAGCAAATAATTCCAACTCACAAGTGTGATTCTGCAATACAGTATGTGAAATTTAAGAAATCATTCTATCTCCGTATTAGTTTTTATGCCTTGCATTCTGCAAAGCCTGAGAACAAGTTCGGAT